CTAGGATTGGTCATCAGTGCAGCAAATTCAGTCAACTGGAAGTTAACAGTAGCATATGTGGTACCAGTTATTAGAAACTAAGGAAACTGGTCTGCTGTATGAACAGTGATGGAGAAGTCTTCACGCTGGATTTATCAGCTCTTTCCAGGCTGCATGCGGTGGTACTTGAGTTATCTGTTACAGCCAATGTTCTGTGAAAAATATCCCCTTGTCTATTTGCTGTGTAGTATTTGGTGGTTGGTTGCCACTGCCCCTTTCCAGAGCTGGCAGTGGTTTTGTGTTCAAGATCTCTTCTGATGCGGGGCAAATCACTTTGAAGGGTGTGAATGGTGTTTTCTAAAAATGGGGTTTCAGCTGGAAAAGAAACAACTTATGTCTGCTTGGAAATCAGTAATTGAAATGCTAACTTTGCTGAAGTTTCTGGCCTGTAGCTCTGCTGTGTCCAAGGTGGTATTCTGCATAATGAAAATTACTTCATGCTGAAAATTCTGCTAGCACACAATGCAGCATCTAAAGTTACCTCCAAAGCTAATGACATAAAATTTTCTAGATTTTTTTTCCTCTTTGGCCTGTGATTGAGGACTGTGTTCAGCCAACATGACTTTCTCTGATGTTGGATGGTTTTCTTTGTAGAGCTGAGAATGGAGATGGCATAATAGAGGGCAATATATAGAGAAGAAAGAAAATATTTGGTGTTATACGCTGAGCAGTTCTTATTGACATCATTTGTACCTTATAGCCTTTCAGTAACTTCTTCTACTTCCTATAGGTCCTAATCATTACTTACTGTGTTGTTTTTCAGGTCTTGTGTCTATAAGAATGACCAAGCAGCAAAAGAGAATCCAGGTAAAAGCCTTCAGGAAGAGGAGCCCTGCCCAAGGTTTGCCCATCAACTGGTGTACGATGAGTTGCACAAGGTAAGAGGGTTTAGATACACATATGGTGATTTTTTTTAGTCTTGTTGCTCTTAAGTTGTAGTTGCTTCTTCAAAGATGGTACCATGAATGTAGCTTTTTGTAAAGTGTTAATGTTTGGGTTAACGTGGTAGATAACTTCCATTTAACTTACTGCCTTTTGAAAGAAGGTGCTAAGCTGCTTTTTATGTCAGTGTGAGGTAGGCATGATAGGTCCTAGATGAAAACAGCAGACATATGGCATACAAAGTTGTCAAGTGAGTAGCTCCTGGCTGTTCTCCTACTTGAGAACACTTGGAGCTTCCTTCATTATCCTCAGGGATTTAATCTCAACACCTGTTAGTGACTCTGGAGTTACTTCTTTATGGTCAGAGTTAACATTTCTATGAGGAAGTGTGTTTGAGTGACCTAATCACTGTTAGGAATATATTCTAACAGAGGTGCCTTACTTTCCTGTACTTGTCAGAAGCAACTGTCAGTCCTTAGCACTGTCTGACTTAATTGTACATGTTTATGCTTGAATAGACTTAAATTGTTTACGATGTGCATGACAGCTCAGTAAACTTAGGGCTTTGTGCATATTAACCAATAAAGCACAAACCCATAGATTAGGTTACCGTAGCTTCATTAATTTATGAATTTAAATTACTCTGACATACTTTTTAACCTTTCATGGATATTTCTCAATTAAAATAAACTTTTTCTAAGATTTCTTTTTAGGCTGAAACAGTCTGAACGGCAAAAGACAAATATACTTTAGTCTTATCATTCCATGATATGTTAATCAAAGTTGAGAAAGTCGGCCAAAAGTTTGGGGATAAGGGGGGTTTTAAGGAAGAATAGGTACAAATTCTGTTTGGAGAGCTTGTGTTGTTTGTCTTCATCACAGGCATTTGCACCACACAGTAAATACTGTTCTGCCTTTAATGGCTTGCTTCTAAGTGCAAGGTACCATGAGAGTAGTATTTTACAAGTTACTGTGAAGGTTGCTAAATCATGGCAGATGCCCAGCTTTATCTGAAGAGCTGTTTGATGTGCTTGTTTTGAAGAGCCTTATTTTTAGAAACCTCTGTTCAAGTGACCTTTCTAAACTCCTCTGATATAATAATGAGAGCCTACATCAGTGGGATGCAGAATACATTGTTTTGAGTGATTATTTTTAAAGCTGTGAAGAAAGGTAGCCTGTTGGACTTCTTTAACCTCAGTGTTTGAAGACCCGTTGCGGTATGTTTAATATCAACAGTTCAGAGTCTGAAATGCCAACTGATGTGAAGAAAATTAAAAGTGAAGAAATAAAGACTCCTTTTTTTAACACTTCCACTTTTCTTGAGATTTGCCCCTCTCTGTAAGTCTGGCCTTGTGTTTCAAAGGTGTTTTATCTTGAAATTATCAGAATGGCTGTTAAAGGCTATTTACTTAGTTTGGAGCTGCCTTGAACAAAAAAAAAATGAATTTTGTGTACAGGTATATTTAATATTTCCATGATTGACATCTCAGGATTGCTAGAACGTTTTTTGAAGACAATCACAGTAATAGTTGTGACTTCTGATTCTAAGTAATATTGTGCCGGACTGGACTTGTCACTTTACTTTGAGCATCTTTAGGCCTTCCCACTCACTCTTCCAGTGGCTCTTGTCTGTGGTCTTCACTGTCTCAAGGAAAAGGCTGCTTGTCTGAACTGTAGTGCTTTAGTAGTGCAGCTTCATCATTATTAGCCTGCAAAGTCCCTTTTTTTCTGAGACTTCTTTGAAGAAGAAGCATTTATGCTTTTAAGGAAAATGTGTGATTGCTGGAGTAATCTCACAGTTCTCTGGGTATAATCTGCTCATCCTCAAATTAGAGAAGGATTTAATACAGGTGCCTTAATTTCGCCTCTCTAATAACAAGAAGAATTTGGAGTCTTTGTGGACAAAATGGGAGAAGAGGTTGGTAATCCATCAGTTTGAGTATTGTTTTGATCAGGGCAACAGGAGTTGGCTCAGATCCTTCTTTTCTGCTCATATCTTACGTGCTTAAGGACTTAACATGCTGGTAGGTTGAGATCGTGTGGTTTGTGGATGTTTGTTTATAAATATCTTGGGAATTGCTAAAGGGAGGTCCTAGCAGTGCAGCTTTTTTTTTTTCTTAAGATGCAAGCAGTTTGAGAACTTTCTTCATCTCCTAGGTGACAAAATAAGGCTAATAATAAGATGGAGCAGCTTGTCTAAACGGCAGAGTTTTCTTCCTCCAGGATAAACCTCTCCAAAGATGCTGACGTGGTAAATAGTCTTTGTTTAATGGATGCACACAAACAATCAACTTTTTGATCTGCCTCTCGTTTGCTTAGGTTCATTACTTATTTGGAGGGAATCCTGGCAAGTCCTGCTCTCCAAAGATGAGATTAGATGATTTCTGGTCTCTGAAGCTCTGTCGACCTTCAAAGGAATACCTGCTAAGGCACTGCAAATACCTCATAAGAAAGCACAGGTACAGAAACAAAAGATGCTTTGCAATTTTCTTTTCCAAAGTGTCTTTTCTAACTTGCTAAAACTTGAATATCTTCTAAACTGTTTTGGGAAACGTCACTTTGTTGGTTATATGGTGGTCTGCATGTTTCTTGATTATTTTTATTTAAAAGAAATAATAAAGCAGTGGGGCAGGGCTAAACTATGAAATTAGCTTCATTCTGGTTTTACCATGTTACTCTAAAACTAGAAAAATCTGGATATTGTGTGGGGAGTTGTAGGGAATTTTTAGATTCCCTTTTCACTCTGCTGCTCATCAACATGTGTTTTGGTACTGTCACCTCCCAAGGAAATGGAGTGTGTTTCTGAAACACTGTGCGAGGAGATAGTAACAGCTCACAAGGATGCTAATGAAGTCTGGGGGCTGGATTCCTTTGCACATCTGAGACTCAACTGTGGTGAGGTCATCAGAGTTTCTCATTCAGAACAGTTGAAGGATCTCACTTATGCAGAATTCAGCTACACCGTGATGCTTCTTGCACTTTGGATCTTTCAGAGCTGCCTTATATTTGCTATTTAGGGCAACAGCTTTTCAAAATCAAGCTTATGGTGCTGCCTTAGGCAAGAAATTGCAGCAGCGAGACAGCTTTTCAAGACCCAGGAAATTATTTGAAGCCAATAAATAGCTCTTTCTGCATTCTTGGTGAGAATACTTTGTTATCACGTTCTGCCAAGAGCTGAAGGTCAGTTTTTACTGACAGCATTTTACTTCTGAGGCAGCAAGCAAATTGCTGTGTTCAACTCGCAATCACTGTGGCTCGACGAGGCCTTGTGCAGATTTAGCCATGTGATAGATGTGAATACCTACAAGAAAGAATAAAAGTTGCCCAATATTCTGGGAGGCTTATTAAACTCACATGTGGTTGTATGCAAATGCAGCTGTACAGCTTCCAGAGACAGCTCTGGATTACTTGTTTTTACTTGCTTCAGTTGCCCTCGAAGGAAATGTTGCTGCATATTGTCTGACAAAAATTTGGGATTTATGCACCATGCTCCCATTTACTGGGGTCCGTATGAGAGAGCTGAACATGACCAGCCAGGGACTGGTACGATGGGTGCTTTGCTGAAGCTCATGAGCCTCTCAGGGCTGGAGCTGAGCTGCTGTGGAGTCACTTGGCTGCCTGTTATCTGCACTCCCTCAAGCTCTAGGTACCAGAACAGGAACTTGGCTTGCGTACACAGCAAATCCACCGCATCAGCTGGAGTCCAGTTTGGCCAATTAACTTATTTCCTACCAGTCAGCCATAGCGGAGCCAAGCTGGCCAGGCACAGAAGAGCAAGGTGTCAATGGTTCCACTTATTTAAAGTATTTAGCTCTCTGGACCACAGTGGTATACAAGAAAATCTATGTGAATGTTTGGAAGAAATCACACTTCACTGCCAGAATGTCACGTACGTCAGGTAACAGCCATAGTCTTTGTGCTCCGTGCGCTGGCTAAATGAATTGCATCTTCAGACAATTTCAACATTTGGGCTACAGATGTCCACTACTGTATAAATAGACAAGTAGATGAGCCAAATAAAAAGTAATAACATGATTAAATCTATTCAGTATGACTTTTTTGTTTGACAAGCTATACCCCATTAAAGGTAACATAACTCTATTATGAACTAAATATCTTGTGTTCCTGTGAGGCAGTTGATACAGAGCAGTTAAGTAACTGAGAACATGGTTTTTAGGGTCCTCATCTCTGGAATTCAGAATTACCTGAGCTGTTTTCCTGGAAGGGCTTAGCACTATGTACTGGTGATTCGGAAGAGGAAAAACAGAGTGCGATACTGCAGATAGGTGATAGGAGAAAAAGATAAGTAATTTTAAACCTCATCCTTTTTAGACTTCTGCACCCAGCTCAGTGCTGCAGGGAAATAGCTCTGCTCACTGAGGACGCTGAGCCCAGAACCATTTTCTAAGGGCTAGATTAACTTCTTTGGGGAATTCACAGAAGTTACAGTTTCTGTTCTTTAAAAGAAGATGAGAAAATAATGGTGGCGGTGCACAGGATTTTTACGTACGTGTGCTCTTTCCAAAAGTGGGATATTAAGGCACAGTGTTTATTGAATCTGAGGGGTTTCGCCCCCGCGGTCCCTTTTTCTGTTGTCTGGCAGAAGCAGGGAGCATTTTCCATCCCCGTCCTTCAGTTACGCTTCTGTGCAGCCAGAAATGTAAATATCCCTGGGGCTGGAGTGCTCACGGCTCGCCTGTGTCTGAACTGTGCTCCTCTCATAAGGTGCTACTCGTGCTTTGCTTTATTTGTGGAAAACAAACTGTACTGAACGTTTTACATTTATATATTAAGAAGGTGCTGTCCGTACGCTTTTGAACATTTTTAGTAAGAACGTGATGCTTCGCCCTTGTAACTCTCGTCCACCCAAAAAAAACCACTCCTCCGTGTTTCGGTCTGGCTTGAAAGCACGTACTCCAGCAAGTATGAGGCCAAGCTGCCATTAATATTGTTTTATTTGGAAATATTTTGCTGAAAGTTTTGTGTGGTACGTTTTGCTCTTTGTAGAAATAGTAGCGCTTAGTCTGGAAGGGAATGGTTGCGCTCACGTTTTCTGTTGCTTCTTTGCAGGTTTGAAGAAAAAGCTCAGACCGACCCTCTTAGTGCACTGAAGTACCTGCAGAATGATTTGTTTGTAACTGTGGATCACTCAGACCCTGAGGAGACAAAAGAGGTAGTGAAGACAATCTTTTTCTTATTTATAAAGAAACGTAAGCTGTGTTCTTATGTGGAAACCTTAACCCTCTTACACCTTGTGTCTGTGCAGTTTGGAAAAGCTCTACAGGTGCATGACGCTTTGCCATTTCATACATTTCTCTGCACTAAAGATCATACTGCTTTAGAAACAGTCATTTTGCAACTGCAGCTCCAGATAAAATAGCTTTTGTACTTATAATAGTGAAGACTAGGCCTTTGTTTTAATTCCAACGTACTGGTGTGTATTTTGGGAGCTTTAATTGAAAGGTAAACTCTCTGAAATGTCACGAGTCTGTAGTTGGTTGTGTGGCAGAAAGTGAATAGAAACTCTTATTCATGCTGCCTTTCGACTTGTTAATATTAAATACCTCAGGGGGAGGGAAAGAGGTTTTTCTCCAGATGATAAGTATTTCTGGAAGTAGGTTGTATATATACATTGCTCACTAACCTTAAACCTTCCTCTGCTTTTTGAATATTATCCAGCAGGCTTGTTCTTTTATTTGTTCCAGGAATTTGTTCCCATTTCCTGTTTTGATTCTGTTACCGCAGTGCGTGACACTTCACAAAAAGGATTAAAGAGATAATGAAAAGTGTCAGATAAGGTGGTCGATCGGACTCTGCCGTGAATTTCCACATGGAACAGGGGGCAGACAGCTGCATGTACAGGCATTTGACTCCTGATGCGTAGATGAGGAAGAGGGATCATGGTTCTTGCTCTTCTTGCGTTAAAGACTTTAGGAGTGATTCGACAGCTTCTGTTATAAAACTGTGATAGGAAAATGGGCACTGCTATTCCACACTGGGTCTCTGGATTAAATCACTTAATCTGTTGGTTTTAACTCATTACTATATCACTATACAGGCACTAAAAGCTGAGAGGGCGGAATATCCAATGGGCACTGCTATTCCACACTGGGTCTCTGGATTAAATCACTTAATCTGTTGGTTTTAACTCATTACTTTAGATAAAGAAAATATCACTATACAGGCACTAAAAGCTTTGGAGGGGAATATCCATCTTGCGTATGCATAGTATAGAATTGTAGGGTTAGCAAAATTAAGAAAAAATATTTACTAATATCAGGATCTTGGAACTGATCACATTTGTCATAAATTCCGGTTAGCCTTCTATAAACATCTGGTCCAATAAAACATTTAAGTGCTGTGCCTGTAAGCTCTCTGTTAGATGGTTTGTCATGGAAATTGTCCCATATGGAGTACTTTCACATCTTTTTTAGGCATTTCTAGCATAGGAAAGGCAAATAACAGATAATCCTGCTTTTCTTTAGCTGGGAAAGGAGATTTCTCCCGTGCAGCATGCTTCAAGGTGGCTCAGCCCAATGATGCCCTGTCTTACCACTGTGGTAAGACTTCGTTGTTCCTATTTGAACCTGTAATAACCTATAACATAAACCAGCCTTTCTGATCCTCTCCTCTCCCTTTTCTCCCTCTCATGCACATCCTTTAATATTCTACATTTGATTTTCCCAGTTCAGTGCATAATATTTAACTTGTCCACCTTGTAAGAATGAAGAGTTTACCTGACTCCATGGACTCCTCTGAGATTTTGAGGAAAAGTAGCAGCTTTATCATACAAGGTAGAAACAGAATAAAACATTTGAAAAAATTCTCTTCTTATAGAGCATACTCATGTTCTGTACCTCAATGATCTAGCATATGAGCTTAGGTAGGCTCAGTTCAGCTTAGTGAATATGTTGCAAGTTCTTTCTTTGCAGGGCTAAAACCTTACCAGAACAAAATTCAGTAGCTTCTGTCTGCCGTGCTGGTCTGTTGGATCAATGCATACCATTCAGACAAATTAAAAGCTTTTGGTTCTAGGGATCTCCTAAAGTAATTTAACAATTTCTTCAAGGCTTTTTTAATTTGGGTTTTGTTTTTGTTGTTGTTTTTACAAATTGTGCTGGTCCAAAAACTTTGACTTCTAAAACGTTTTGCACTGGAACAGATCTGGCAGGTATATGGCATCAAGCCAGTTACTGCACTGGTATTGACTGGGTGTATTTCCAGTTGACGTCAATTTACCTTCCGGTTATCACATTGAGTTGGCTTTTTGCTCTGGCATTGCATCTTCAAATAGCTCTTGTGCTTTCCAAGGGACTGACGCAGGCTTTTTGGATTCCATCTCCAATTTCAAGCAGCAGTTTGGTTGTGTATCTCAGCACAGACACCTACATACTCGGTCTTTATTTGTTGTCGAGACCGTCTTAATTAATATCAAAAGCTGTATATCTGATCGGCTCGCTCTGTGCTGGCTGCAGCCATTGAATGTTGTAAGGCTTAATAGGCTGGCAAATCTTCAGGGAATTGGTTTCTGCCTGTTCTTTTCCATCTCTCTAGGATGACTGTTACATTTGGGAAGGATCAAGCTGAATAGGTTTATCCCCAACTTTGTGCTACCTTTTTCTTGGAGACTGGTCTATATAGTTTCATCTTTTATGGATTTAGATATGGGTAGTGTTATCCAACAGGAGAATAGAAGCAGAATTTCACTTTGAGGTAAGGCTTACTTGCTTTGTAATAGAAGTAATTTCTTCTAACTCAGTTAGGCAAGTCTCTTCAGCTGTTTTGAGTTGCATGCCAAAGAAAATAAACAGACTGTTCTTGAAACTTACTTTGGCATTAGCAACCAATTTTGTTTAAAGTAGCGTGAATGATTGATGGTAGGAACATACCCCCAGATTTTCGTTCCTTTGTTGTGAATTTTAGGGACGTTAATAGGATTATAATTTTATTTCCTTTTCTATTATTCTGAAGTAGATGCCTGTAGGTAATGGGTATCACACAGGTATCGCATGGGTGCTCGTTTTAGTACCCGTGGGCTGTGTGCCAGCTCTGTCTCTGCTGTTGCCCACAGATGCAGATCCAGTTCTCTTTAACTGCGATTCTGCTTGAAATCGCTTAAACCTCTTCAGTTTGTTCAGTGTTTTCCAATCAGTGAATCTTTTTTTTTTCTTTAAAGCTGGCTGTGGATTAATAGCTCTGGCAATGTATGTAAAGGAGGGTAGATCCCCAGAGCTCATAGAAGTTTTTCCATGTATTCTAGTTCGTGGAGAGATTAAAGTTACATAAAAAAACCTGGCATTTGTTGATGTAAAAATTTCTGGTGGCATGGCTGTTGTTCTGATCCACATACACGCAAATGTGCATTTGATGGTAGTTTGCGAGTAGAGGCTTTTAAAAATAAAAGGATAGTCAAAATATGAAATAAAAATGAATTCCAAGCTTTGTACTTATGTCAAAGAAAAACCAGGTTCTGCTAAAGCACAAAATCATCGGTAGATCACGTACGAGGCTAAAGGTGGTGGTCTTTCAACGCGGGAGAAATCATACCCGAAACTTTGCTGCTGCTTAGTGGACTATAGAAGAGATCAAGATGATACGAAAAATGGCCAATGCCATTTGGCCAGGAGATGATTTTGTATATGGAGATTCAACAACTGATGACGCTCAATCCCATGATTGCTGTAAAAGAGGCACAAAGCGCAAGTAAAACTCGATGTATGTTTGTTTTGGAGCATGGTAGGAGAAAGAGCAAAGACCTGGAGGCCAATTTGAGGCCTGACCAGCTTGTAGACCGAGGCTGGAGGCCCCAGTTCAAGGCTGCTTCATAATTTCCATTCTTTAAGACCTTGTCTTTAATAGATTTGCCAGATAAAGCCAGCGGGGCCCAAAAGTATTGTTTGAGTCTGCATTAGACTGATATTTCTGGGAAAATTGAAGCCCAAATGGGAAAAATAGTTCTAGGAAGTAGCTAAGAAAAGCATAGCTTTTCTTTGTTTCACGCTGTGATTCTTTGTAAAGCCTGAGAGCCTGAGTGCTGCAGGAGCAGAGGCTTTGGAGCCAAGGAGCCTTTACAAAAGCAGCGTTCAGCCTTCCCAACTTCAGCTGGTGAGGGCTCCATCCTCAAAGAATTTGAGTCTTTCTTTGCTGCTTTGAGCCTGCGCTGCGAGGCACCGTCCCAGCAGAACTGGTCAAAGTTGTTTTACGCTGTGATCTGAGCGCTCGCCGTGCAGGCGTTACGGAGGAGGAGGAATTATATCTGAGTCCTACAACTTGCCAGGTATCCCAAACTGGAGTTACTCATTCCCCCTTAGGGTTAACCGTTTCATTTGCACAAAAGGCAGAGGCGTGCAGCAGATGCACTAAAACTTGTATGGGTTGCCATATGGTGGAATTGCTTTCTTGCTGTAGGTAGAAACCTAGATAAATCACACACAACTGATAAAACAACAGTGATGTTGGAAACGTGAAAGTCGTAAGTTGGAAAATGCCAGAATTAACACTGCTCATGTGGTCTTAATTTCACCTCTCTGAATGTGGTTGATTGTATTAGTTAACCTTATATTAATTAGTCAGATATATATATAAAACTAATAAAGCAGATGTAGAACTAATTCAGATCTAGAGTTCAGATTCAGAACTAATTTCAGCCTGGAGAAGAGAAGGCTCCAGGGGGACCTTATAGCGACCTTCCAGGACCTGAAAGGTGCCTATAAGAAATCTGGGAAGAGCTGTTCACTGGGGCATGGAGTGATAGGACGAGGGGTAATGGTTTTAAACAGAAAAGGGTGGATTTAGGTTGGATATGAGGAAAAAGTTCTTCCCCATGAGGTGGTAGATCAGTGGCACAGGTTGCCCAGAGAGGTGGTGCAGGCCCCATCCCTGGAAATACTCAAGGTCAGGCTTGATGGGGCTGTGAGCAACCTGATGTGGTGCCAATGTCCCTGCTGAGTGCAGGGGTTGGACTGGATGAGCTGTAAAGGTCCCTTCCAACCCAAACAATTTTGTGATTCTAGTCTATGATAATATAGCCTTGTATTAGTTAGCCAGATAGATTTGTCTCTAAGGAACTCCTTCCTCAGTTCAGAGGGTGGGTTCAGTCACCAAGAGAAATTAATTGTGTAACGAAGGGAACTGTTGCCTTTTGAATGGAGGCTTAATCTGGAATGGATGAAGCCAAGGAGCCAGAGGGATTGTCAGAAGAAAATGAGTGGTGGTGTGAATAAAATAGTTGGATGCTTCTGCCGGATAATTGAATTCTGGTCCTGCCTCTGTAACAGGGTTGCTATGTGACGTTAAGCAAATTGTTTTTCCTAGATGGTCATTAATTGAGTCTTTCATTCTGGTGTCTGATGGGAGAGATCCGAGGTGTGATTTACTTGGGGGCTTTGCTCTTCTGGCTCCAAGTGAATTCAAAAGAAGCTGTGTAATACTAAGTATTTTGAAAAATCAGACTCTGGTAGTTTCAAATTGTAACCCCAAATTATTCAGAATTTGAAGTGCCCCGTGTTATGATACCAATATGATAGAAAAGCTGATGAAAAAAATTCCTTCGTTAGAGTAGGGTTTGAACTTCATGAAGAAAGTACTGGATTGAGTATATGCTGTAAGTGGTGTGTAGGAGGTCTTGAGTAAAGAGTCCTATGCCCTGGAAAAAAAGTGGGGGTCCTTTAGAAGAGCATCATACGGTTAGCTGGCATTGTAATGCAGATGCAGAGTGAAGCAGCTTAGGCTCAGTGCTGTCTAACTGATGTTCTTAACTTACGTGCTTCACTTTTCCATCAGAAAGTGCTTTCTAAATGTGAATATGATACATAAATTATAATTTCAAACCAAACAAGGAACAAACCTCAAGGTTAAGTGAAGTGCAGTGTCATCAGTGAAGGAGACGAAAACTCCTTCCCTACAAAACTGAAAAGAAACTCGTAGCTGTGAAAATCCATCATGCCTGGTGCAGATGAGGCTGGAATACTTGCCAGAGGCTCTTTATGACAGATTTTTGGGCTCAGTTCAGAGAGTTACTGGATCCTGCTTATATGGTCTCTTAGTTGGGCATCCTGAGATGCTTTGCTTTCTGTTTACAGCAGGATGGCTGCTGGCATTGCTGGGGGACGTGAGGGAACCCCTTGGAGCATGCGGCATCTGCTTTGTCCCGGCAAAGCCGGCTTCATGTATTACCAGGCAGTTGGCAACAGGCCCATAAGGCAATTTAGTGGGAGGGAAAGATGGCCAGGACGTGGCATTCGCTATCAGAAGCAGCACAGATTTAGCCACAGGTTTTATTGGAACTTTTGGAGCTATTTATGCTGGGCATCTGTTTAAGTACGTTGCTGATTCGGAGCCAAGCGACTCTTACACGTTACACTAGCAGTGAAATACAAGTGTAGCATTGCCATCCCTTCTGATTTGATATAACCAGACCTTGCACTCAAGAGGGCACTTAATCAACCTCTTCTCCCTGTTCTGCAGTTTGTCAGTCCTGTGTCTTTCTAACCTGTTCTTAAATACCTCCAGTGCTAGGTTCACGTGATGACCTCCCCAAAAGATGCAAGCTCATTCTGGTCCTTAATTTAGACTGATCTTTTTCCTTAATGTTGTGTGAAAACTGATCTCACTGAGGTGTTTTTGTGGCTTCTTGCACTTAGTTGTAGATTTACCTTTTTGTAGCAGCCTTTTACATTTGTGATGTTTCGCAGTTTCATGCTTGGATGTTCTTCTGTGGAGGCTCTGCAGCCCTGACTCCTTTGAACCTTCTTGATAGAGCTTGATTTTCAGACCACTTCATATTTTTTCTTGTACTTTCCTCATATGTTGCTAATTGATAGAGACATCCAAAAGTGGTTGCCTTATTGTGGATGAGACTCTTGAGCCTTGGTAACTGCAGGAGTACTTGATTTACTTGAAGATCCTACTCCTTTTCATGCATTTTCTGTGTGCATTTGTCATTTTTGCAATAGGATGATACTGATCTATTGTAACTCCTAAATGTTTTTTTCACAAAGCCTCTATTCCCCAACCTGATTTGTATACAGATTTTTCCTGTTTATGTTGATTTGCACTTGGCCCTGGTGAATTGCACCTTGATTCATTATTATTAGCTGGATTAAATGGAAAAACAGTCTGAAACCCGTCTGTTTTTAAGCTCTGTGGACGCAGTGAACGTGTCCTGTTCTGCCAAGCAGGTTATCACTGCAGACCCAGAACGATGCTGACCCTGGGGCACAGATGAATCACTTCTGATTCATGGCTCTGCTTTGATGTCAAACCATTGATGGTTGCCCACAGTAAAGTTATTTGACCTTTCCTGTCATTTGCTAGTTTAATCTAGGTGATGTCTTGATAATTTGCCATAAATATAATATAAATTTGCCTATAATATCTCATAAAAATCCTATGGAAGTCAAAATGGACAGTGTCTGTTGCCAAGTCCCCATCCATAGGGCCTGCTGCCCTGTTGCAGAAGAAATCAGATCGATGTGGTGCAACTTCTTGTTGCCAAATCCACGTTGGGTGCTGCTTGTCACCTTCTCCACTCCTAGATGCCTGCGAATTGTCTGTGTTCCCATTTTTTCTTGAAATTGAAAATAAACCGATGGATATGCAATTCCTGACAATTCTTCGCACTCCTTGCCTGAACGTATTTGTTTCTCTTCTGTTTTTTCATTTACCCTCCTTCTTTCCTTCGGGCTGTAAAGACACACAGACAGGAGACAAAAGATTACAGGCCTTTAAGGGATTGAGTAATTCTTTAAGGAAAACTGACGAAGCACTAAGCTTTGCTACAGCGTGGGTAACTGAAAACAGCAGCCGGGGGCAGAGAAGATGCTGTGTTTGCCTGTTAAAGGAGAATAAAACTGTGAATGTGTTGCTTAAAAGGTTTTTACTTAAGATTCTGATATTCCCAAGCAAATAATTTTTAAATCTTATTTATTTATTTTTAGTTAAAAAGGTACTAACTTGTGATATGAGCAGCTTTGGCAGTTCAGAAAAGTTGTTGCCATTTAAAGCTATTCATGATGTTGATGCTGCGCTGGAGCACTACCCTGTTTTCGTGCCATCTGATCCTTGCTCACTGGGACCGTACCACGTTCATCCCTGGGAATGTTGTTGCGTGGAAGAGGCTCTGCCTCACTTCTGCACTGTGGTATCTGCCAGAGAGGCAAAAAAAAGTAGAGAAAAATTGGGTTTTAGGGCTCCCAGTCAAGTGCCTTTCATTGCATTGATGCTGCTCTAATTCTAGGAAAAACTATCCATCTTGCTTTGCCAAGGTGACAAATTGCATTGCTCTTATGAAAGTGCTGCTGTTATTCACAGGTATGGCACAGTAGTTGTAAGGATTGCGCAAAGAAAACCCAGCAACTCAAAAGCCACTTGGTGTTCTAAGAATCTTTTGGGTTTTTTCCTGTGCAGTTAATAACACTTTTTTTTCTTTCTTTTTGTCCCTCCACCTCCTTTTCTGCAGTTTCAGCTTCTTGCCTCAGCGTTATTTAAGTCTGGCTCTGATTTCACCACTCTTGGTGAGTATTGTGTACCAGAAAAATGATGCTAAATATGTTCCCTTCGATAATTACTGTTAGTTTCTGCTGGTTTTTATATCAAATGTTATCATTCATATGAATGTCGCAGGCCCTTTCCAGCCTGAAATGCAAAGTGCCACTGCATAGACATTTGAGAGATTACTTATAATGACCAGTGTCCAAGGCCTCGAGCCCGTATTTAAGACATCTGTCACCAGTGGTTTTAAACCCATGCCTCCCGGGATCATTTTGTGTCTCTTATTACATCTGATGCTTTGCTGTTACCCAAATAAACAGAAGCTTTGGTCAGAAGAAGGCACCTCGCGTCATGTCACTCTGGAATCTCACAGCATGGCTACGGCTCTGTTTGCTGTGATAACTGCAATTCCTGGAGTAGTTTGGTTCGCTCTGTTCTTTGCAAAACGAGTTCTTTGGGCAGGATGTCAAGAGCGAAGAAAACAGTGGCGTATAGGGCTGGAAACAGGAGGCCTGAGCCAAAGCCATAATTTGTTACGCTCTTCTGTCCAGTTAACTCTTTTAAACAGTTGAGAGATTAATCTCAGACAAGCTATAGGAAGGCTACGGGCATAACTCAGATTCTTGTAATGATGAATTGTCCTCAAGTTACCGAGCTCTTTCTAGGAGTATGGATGACTTCAATTTTTGACAAATGCATAACTCCCAATCAGAGGAATTGAAGGAAGGAAAAAGCCACTGCACTATCAGCCCTGCTGTATGAGAAAACTCTGCTGAGCTCGTGTGGTTTGAAAGACATTATCTGGTAGATGCTATAAAATGAATTTTTTTAAAGGAAGAAAATGCAAGATTCAGAAAGTTATTTCCCTAGTTTTAAGTGTTCTAAAAGGTGAACTAGTTCTTGACACAATACAGTATTTTATTCAGAGGCTGGCTTTACAGATAGGAAGATACATACATCAAGTGGTGCTCCTAAAAGAAACCAAAAAACCCAAGCCCTCCTTGATTTGATTAACTTCATTGACTTTGATTAACTGAAGAGCAAGTTCACTGAATTAAAAAGCATTCCTCTGAGATATCAGTGATGGAAGTAATACAGAGCAGAGGAAATCATTGTATGCTGCTTTATTGTTCTCGCTGTTGATTAAGTGTGGGGATTTGGATAACCAACACTTCTGCCCAGACTAAACCCTCCCCTGGTGGGAGGTCACACTTCACCAAACCAGTTTGCAAAGCACCCTCGTGCCAAGATGCAGCCTGGCTCCTAAGTAAAAGTCCAGCTATTAAATAGCAACTCTGACGTGGGCCTCCTACCATCAGCAGAGCTTGTCTCAAGAAAAACTGCAAGCAGTGCAAGTACCAGTTTTGGTTAAGACCGTAGTGAAGATAATGAGGAAAGCCTGAGGACAGAAGAAATGAAGCACCAAATAAAAATAGCTGCACAGATCTTGTTTTCTGGGACATCAGAGCAGTCCCCTGAGGGTTCTTGCTTTCCCCATTTCTTCAGGACTGTCAGTGAGCTTGATAGCCATTTGCTCATTGCTTTTTAAGGCATTTTGATTGCAGTGTTGGCTTGTGGTGATGCGATCTCCGTGTGGGACAGAGCTGGCAGTTAGTTGAGGCAGAAGTAGGAAATAGTTAACATCCATCTAATATGGACAACTGGCATATTCCACAGCTAATTAAAACAGTTTAAAAAGCATTTAAAGTAGTGAGCGCTGACCTGCTTTCCCCCTTTCTTCCCCCCACCAGGATTTTCAGATGTTGACCACACGTACGCGCAGAGGACTCAGCTGTTTGATACGCTGGTCAACTTCTTTCCAGACAACATGACCCCTCCTAAAGGCAACCTGGTAGACCTCATCACGCTGTAACGGAGCAATCACTGGACACGTGGAAGAGGGGAAAAGCATCCATTTTCAGTATTTTAATTTTTTTACTGCATTGATTGACTGCTGGGATGAAGTAACATAGTAACCCCGAGGTGTTTGAAAGGGGTTTTATACTTGTATGGTGAATCCCTGAAGCTTTTCCCTTGGATTAGGTTAATAAAATGTAACTGACGTACTTCCGACTAAATATATATATTTTTTCTGACTTGGGAGTTTGAGTTAGCAGATGCAAGATGAAGAGGTGGGGGGGGGAGGGAAGAAAAAAAAATAAAACCCAATCGTGCAGTGATTGTTTTCGCCTGTAGGGGAAAACTGAGATTTGCGGGTTGTCTGGAATTAAAGATGATGGGGTTTATTTTGGGTTTTATGAGAAAGGGGAGGGGGAGGTTGTTCTTTGGTCATTTGTAGCGAGTCACGATATATTGCTTTATCCTACAACTCCATCCTCAGCAGCTGAATAACCTGGTGGCAGGACACTGGCACGCGTTGAGGTAATAGTAATGTCTGTGTCTTGAGTCTCGTAATCGCAGCGTGTCATGTGAAGGGGAGCACGTGTTAACGAATTATCTGTCTCCTTGTCTCAGAACTGGGCTGACAGTAGTGTCTAATTGCATCTGATATCTGGTCTAAATCTAAATACCTAAATGCCTACCTTCTGTTCTCCAGAGCCTTCCACTTAGACCTGACAGGCGAGTGGGAACCTCGGAGAAACCCCTGGAAAATGGGAGTGCAGTTGTAATCTGCAACGGCCCCTTTTCAGGGTTGGTTCTGTTTCCACTGCCGCGCTTTTCCGACGAGAAACCCGGCAGAACTGGGTCTTCCACCACACGCACCCCCAACCTCTGCAACCTGACTCCGGGTTGGGTGTAGGATTTCCGAAGCAGATTGTCTTCGTTTACATGCACCTATGCTTCTGTGTGCGTTTGTCAATGTGTAAATGTAAAGAGGATCGCTCCCAACAGCTTGTCTCCTTCCTGTGTAGTGCAGCTCATTCACATTTAAATGCATTTTAGACCTAGATCTGAATGTGAGGGAGGCCTTTTTAGTTTGAAAGCAAGCTGTAATGCGTATGTATAGAATATATATGCTTCCTCGCTGAAAGCCTTCTTTATAAATAAGGTAAGGGCTTGGCGCTGCGCTGTGAAGTGGAATGAAGGGTATGCGTACCCAGCATTAGAAACTTTTCACATTTGGTGTCGGTGAGCATTCAGTACAAACGGGCAGATGTAAATATTCCTATGAGACTGCAAAACTTTATGCCCAGAAGCGTTCATGCAAATAGGGTATCATTGCTGCACCCATGGTGGCTACACGACTCTTGTGGAACTTGCTGGCAGTCGTCTGTGTGCAAAGATGGTTTGAACTCTTGAAATAAAGAGTCGGCGAAGTGTCCCTTTCAGAGCTCAAGTGTCTGCTTGCTTTGATTGCATTGTATTGCCTCTTTATCACGTCTTTTGTGTGACTTTTTGTAGTCCTGGTACGTTAGAAATAAATCTAAAAACTCACGCTAGTGTTTAATTGCTTAGAAAGGAACAATGTGTTAGAGGCTGGGCTTTGCTTTGTCTTCAGGGAGGACTATACAAATACAGTGTTTTTAAGTAACCTGTAACTCGAGACTGTTCAGACATTGTACACTTCGGTGGACGGCAAATCAGATGTCTGTGGGAGAACCCACTCAGTACGGAGTGCAGTAAATGAAATCTGATTAAATTGTTTCTTTGAAACATTGTTGGTATTATTTTTTTTTCCAGTGACATGGAAAGTTTTGCGTCACTGCTGGGTTTAACACTGCGCTACCTTTGCTGGCGCTTTGTTAACTGGTTCAAGTAGAGCTTACATGGTACGAATGTAGATACCGGCGGTGCTGCAGTGAGGGAATATTCCAGCCCAGGCGTTGTTTCCATTGAGATTGAACTGAGCACTTTTAATGCAACCAGCCAAAATGCTGCAGCCTTCTAGCACTTAAAATTTCAGTGCTGTTGCGCTCCCTTATCACTTGATCTCATCGCCTGTGTATTCTCCAACTTCAGGCAGTTTTCAGTTGGTTTTTTTGTGACGGTTTTCTAATCAACCAAGCTCTTCTTAGACTTTATAGGTGTACACCCTTTGGCTATGTGTAAGGCTGAACCCAAAAGACACAATAATGCTGAGGAGCCTCAATGAGCAGATGGTGGAAGTTTAGGGATGCCAAAAGCTTTGTGAATGGTGTTGGTGCTGAGCAGTGTCAGGCTTGAGTTGTGTGGTAGAATTTCAATCAAAACTAGAAGAGGGGTGGTTGTAGGGCAGAGAGGTTCTCCTTCCCCTCTACTCTGCCCTGCTCAGACCACATCTGCAATCTTGTGTCCAGTTCTGATCCCTCAGTTCAAGAAGGACAGGAACTGCTTGAAAGAGTCCAGCAGAACCACAAAGATGATGGAGGGAGTGGAGCGTCTCCTGCTGAGGAGCGGCTGAGGGAGCTGGGGCTCTTTAGCTTGGAAGAAGAGGAGACTGAGGGGTGCCCTCATTCTTGGGGATCAATTTGTAAAGGGCGAGTGTCAGGAGGAAGAAGCCAGGCTCTGCTCTGGGATGTCCAATGACAGGACAAGGGGCAATGGTCCCAAGCTGGAGCATAGGAGGTTCAACCTGAACATGAGGAAAAACTTCTTTACTGTGAGGGTGGCAGAGCATGGCCCAGGCTGCCCAGAGAGGTTGTGGAGTCTCCTTCTCTGCAGACATTCAAAACCTGCCTGGCCGTGTTCCTGTGTGACCTGGTCTGGTGATCCTGCTCTGGCAGCGGTTGGACTGGATGAGCTTTCGAAGTCCCTTCCAACTCCTAACATTCTGTGGTTCATCGTCATCTGCGTCTGGGATGCATGCAAATCTCGGTTCGGATTTTTGTAGGGTAGCATAAATGAACAATGTGTCTGAGTGAGGTGAACGTTGCTTCTGCAGGACTGATGATCCCAGCTAATGAGAGCACTTCAGGATGGTCAAATACTGACCTACCTTTATCCTGAGCAGATCAATTTCGGCTCACAGGAGTCCGGTTCATGGATTACAGCTGGTGAGTAACCAGCAGAAACTATTTGCTCAGCCTCAGAGTATTTGTTGAGCAGCAGAGGCACCCTGTGGCCAGAGAGGTTAATCCAAAGTGACGGTTTCCTGTGGCTTTGCCAAGGGTCTTTCCTGGCTCTGTGTCCTTACAGCTAGGAGTCAGAATTAAATGATTTCTTTGCATTGGTGTGTGCTGCACTACCTGGTTTAAAAACTAATTAGAAATTCTGAGCGGTGATGTATAAATTTCCTCTCAAAATAAGCCAGTTATTGACAAGCAGTTACAGGGAGAGTTTAAACTTAATTACATGCAGATCTTTAAATATATCGGTGTTATTCCAGGAAAGCGTTAGATGTGAGCATTGCAGAAACACTGAAGTACAAACAGCAAAGAGACCGAGTTGATCTGGAAACAGCCACCTGAAAGCGTTTCACAGCACAGTGCATGCCATGTTATAAATACACGAGCTGTACGTGAGAACTCTTCGAACCTCACCCTTACTGCATGCAGGCTGCAGCAGAGATGGCTTTTTAGCTTAGACAAGACAAACATACTGTGTTTGCTTTTACCATATATTATAAGGTGACTTTGTGTATGGATTTAACGCCGCATAATCTTTGCACTGCAGTAGTTTATCTTGAAATTATGTGTTAACTTGTAAATAAGGCATTGCGAAAGAAAGCGTCGTGACTTGTCAGAGAGGGACTTATTTGTGATGATTAAGGTCTTTAAAGCCAAAGTTACAAGGTTCTGGTATGGTTTTTTAAGCTGTAGAAAGTCAGGGTGGGATAAACTTGATACAGACATCAAGACTTCAGTCCTGATTTAGTTGTTTTTTTGAGGGTTTTTTAAAAATCCTTTTAATGTCCATGGGTTTGATTCTTTACTGCTGCTGGCCTTCAGTATAGTTGCCCTTAAAATATTATTCAGTAGATCATCCCTTTGGCAAACATGAATTTATCATTTACACAAAGTTGTTCTGATGAGGTGACATGCTTCCTGGAGAAATAAAACCCTTCAGGTTTCATTTTTGGTCACTCAAATTAAATTAAGTGAGTTTGTCTTGTGCATCCCCTCGTAGTAGTCACGAGGCAGAAGTCCTTAAGAGTTTTCCCAAAACGCCTTCTCCCAGCAAGTACTGCTATCTCCGTGTGACCTAACGCATTTCCATGTGGCACAAGGACCTGTTTGAAGATTAAGCTGCTAAAAATGAGTAGACTATAGCCACCTTCTTCCCACTAACTAGTATTGCTCCTGGGGAAAGCTGAAGGGTGATGCAAAGCGTTTGTTGAAATTACTTGTGGTTTTTCTCTTCTGGCTCTTTTAAAGGTAACATTTATGACTTGCTTACTCTTAAGCATCTCTTCCTTTTTGCTGAGTATAATGAGGAAGAAGAACTTTGTCTTGGAAAAGCTCAGTTTGCCCTTTCTCTGGACAGCATCTTGTATGTGTGGTTTAGGTAGTGATACCCAGTCGTGTCAGTAAGTGTCTGTCCTGTTTCCACACAGGTACATGTTAGCTCAGGGGTCAGGCTAGACGATCAATGAGCAAAATCCTGCTCTCATTTTGGAAAAATCAATCTGCGAAGACCCAATCGGAAAGGCTTTTCTGTGGTATTTGCCCTGTACAGTAGCAACTAGAGTGAAATGAGGAGATTTTCCTAAAGAGCGTACTGAAGTCCTCCCTTTATGAATATTATACTGCAGTGAGGATGCAGTGACTGGCTTAAATTAAATTTCTGAAACTTTTTGGTCGCTGATTGTAATAACCTCATGTGGAAATTTTAGTGATTGAGGAGTCAGCAAATTAATTGGAGCTTTTTGCAGGAGGGCAGGCTCTTTGCAGGGGTATGGGGCTAATGGCAAAGGATGGAGGTATCGTCATCTGTGTTTCTTTAATCAGCAGCCACAAGTGTCAGGATCTCCATGAGCTCAGTCCTCTTCCAGAAGAGGCTCCTTCCAAGGAGAGCAATGACTCTGGAAGTGTTTTCCGCAGGGCTTTGTGGAACAGCTGTTTTCTGAATAATTTTCCTGATCCATGTGAATCTGTAGAAAGGGCTTTTCTTTGTCCCAAAAATGGTCACCACTCTTGCCCTGCTGTGCAGACTTGTGAGTGCTGCAGGCAACGAGTGATAAATTCTGAGAAACACTTGA